ATAAAAAACTTGTAAATACACACACACACACACGTATGTTTGCCTTTATCTATACAATCTATACATTTATAAAAATGGAGAAGAAAAATCTAATGACAACAAATTCGTGCAGGAAATAGTTATTTATAATTATGGTTGAGGATATTCTTATTTCCATCAAATTCAAGCTCCTGCGTTATGGCCTTGTACATATTTTAAACTATAAAGAAATGCTAACATTGACACAAGAGAGATACAAATGGTTTATCAGACGAAATTGATTTTCTACCTCTCCAGCAGCTATGAAATGCCCATCTTTGGAGACGGCGACGCAGCTCAACGGTCTCGGCATGGCATTCGATGAGAAACCATGAGGTGCGATTGGGCGCCGGAATCCACATCGTAAACCACCACGACGCACCCGGCGACATAGGCACATCTCGATGGCGAAACGCTCGAAGCCAATCCATTGGAATTCGTCGTCGAAAGACAAACCAGCTGGAGAATGCAAAGAGATCAAGAGAACCAGCAATTAGAAAAACAAGTCAAAAATTAACTAAAAATTCATTCCGTTTCTGTTCTTGTTTTTGAATTTTCTCGGGAACCAAACGGAGGTTAAGGTTTAGGGTTTTAATTTTGGGGGAATAGGAGGCATTACCTTGGAAGAATTGTCTGGTTTCTTGACCTTGCGAATCGTCCTTTTCATCCTGACAAATCAAAGAGTAGAGAATGGAGTAGAGTAGAGAGATCTGGATTGAAAATGGGTGGTAAATTTGAGATTTCAGTAAGGGTAAAATTGAAAATAAAAAATTTCATTAACCACTTAATACTGATTCACGCATATGAAATCAGAATCAACTTTAAGCCTTTAAGGCTGATTCTGCTTTTAGCGTCAAATTAGGCGGAAATTATTTAAAAATTTATTTTATTAAATAAATTTTTAGATTTTAGATCTCTCAAGAAGTGTTTTTTCTCTCTTAAAAGTAATACTAAATTCACCCAATATTTTATAAAACTTGATAAATTATAACATAATTAACTTTTCACTCTAAAAAGTAATATTGTTTTCCAAATATACCCATCCTCCTAGCATTTTATTTTGCCTCCATTCCTTTTCATCAGATTCTCTCTCATTCTAAACCGTCCCTCTCTATTCCTCCACGATCTCTGTCTCCCCCATGCACAATCTCTCTCCCCCCTACAGGATCTCTCTCTTACCTCTCCATTTCTCTCTCTTTAAAGATAACTCGGCCGCCGTAGTCGCAGGAGATCAGAGACACGAACTAACATCGCAATTTTTGTCGTCTTTCTTTTCCCTCGTCACCGTCGTCGCTGATCTGTCGTGGAAGATCAGAAATCGCGCTTACTCCGGCTCTCTCTTCACTTCTCTAGCCGTCGTCTTCACCAATCTATCGTGGAAGACCGAATCCGACAGCCACGACCAGTGACGGAGTTGTGATTCGCCGTCGGTGCGACATCGCGTTCAATGTCATGATCTCTTTCTCTCTCTCCCTTCCTGTCCGGCCTCACAACGGCATCTGGAGATTTCCGACCTTGAGATATTCTCTAGTACGTCTAAACAAAAAAAGTAGTTGTGATGTTGATCAAACACACACACACACACACACACACATATATATATATATATATATATATTCATGGTGATGGTGTCCAACTCTGCAAGTCATTACCGTTATATTTTCTTGAAGGACGAGAAGATGGTATTGGTTATTCTTTTGGGCAAATAATCCAAAAAGTGACCGAAAAGCTCTGGCTTTGAATTTGAAAACTGTATTGTTAATTCTTGTGGCATTAGACAACTGGCCGAATATAAAGATTACTACAAATAAGAGCCAATCTAGAAGATCTGAACGGCATAATATATATTGTTGATTTTTGTTGGATTTATTTTTGAATTTTGTGTTTATTTCTTCATTTCTTTTTAGTTTCTTATTGTAATTTTCAGAAAAAAATATATATATTGTAATTTGGTTTCCAAAGCCGGTAAAGAGAGGTTTTGAATTTTTGTGTTTGAAATCAGGTGAATATGATACCAGTAAATACAATATTTAAATTTTCAGATAAATATGATATTTACTAATAAATACAACATTTATTCGTCATATAGTATTTATCGGTAAATACAATATTAAATGATCGCCGGAGTCGGTGTTTAAATTTTTAGATAAATATGCTATTTACTGGTAAATATGGTATTTACTAATAAATACAGTATTCACTGGTAAATACGGTGTTAAACAATCGCCGGAGTCAGTGCCTGAATTTTCAGATAAATATGATATTTATTAGTAAATACAGTATTAAACGGTTGTCAGAGTCGGTGGCTGAATTTTTAAATAAATATGATATTTATTCGTAAATACGATATTTATTGATAAATACAATTTTTACCTGTAAATATAACGTTAAACGGTCGCCGGAATCAGTTGTCAGCTTTTTGGATAAATATAATATTTACTAGTAAATACGATATTTACCAATAAATACAGTATTAAACAGTCGTCAAAAAATAATCACTGAAAAACGGTCATAAGTTACTGAAAAATTGTCTCTAGTCGCCAGAGCCGACCACCGGTTCTAGCCATGATGGACTTGACTATAAACTACTTATTTTAAAAATTATGCTATAATTTACTATTTTTTAAAAAAATAGATATTTAAGAGAGAAGAGTGTGGTGAAAAAAAGAGTTTAAAGATGTTTTTAAGTTTTTAATAATATTTAAAACTTAAAATATTAAATTATTCTATAATTTACTATTTTTTAAAAAATATACTATAATTTATTAATCACTTTACCGGTTATTGTTATTTTCCTCTTTAACCCTAAAGAAAGTCACATTTGAAAGCCCATTACTATAAGTCCACGTGAAGATTACATTACTGGACCAAAAGAATCTCATGGGCTCGCCATGGGACGGATCTAATTTACCAAGGTCCACAATGCGTTCCCTTCCCTCACTGAAGCTAGTGGAAGCACTCCCCATGGCGGCTCCTTTTCTTCTGAGAGGCTTTCCGCTCCACCGCCTCCGACTTCACCTCCACCACAGACTCGCCGTCGGCCGCATATCGGCGCCTCGATGGCCGCTATGCACGGCCGCGAACGAGTCGACTCGGCCGGATGAGGAGGAGAAGGCGGCGGCGTCTTCATCAACCGACAACGACGGCGGCGAGCTGAGCGTGAAGGAATCGCCCAAGTATCCGAGATGGAACGATCCTGATTGCCGACAGTGGAAAGATAAAGAGGAGGAGATCCTCAGAGACATCGAGCCTATCCTTTTGCTTACCAAGGATATTCTTCATTCTCGAATGTAAGTCTTCCTTCTCATTTTCTTCCTTTTTTTAATTTTTATCACATATATTATTCTTGCTTTGTTTTATTTTATAATTGATCAGATTATATATTGTCTATTACTTTCTTTTATTTTGACTGACGATGCTACACTGAGAAATGGCAGGAAATGATGGAAATGATAATCGTTAAAAAAAAAAAAATTGATGGTTTTTTGGGGGAGTTAGATTCTCGTCAAATACTAGTTTAACCATTTTGGAATGATTCATTTGGATTGTTTGTGTTCATTTTTTGAAACCGAAGCAAATAGATAAAACTTATGGTGTGTCTATTCATCATTATTGAGGGTTTCGCGGACGATATGGATGCCTATCATATTATTGTCTTCTCAAAACAGCAAAATGAAAATTACACATATTTGCCTAGGGCATTTCGACATTGGAAGTACCTAGATAATAGTAGTAAATTGGAAGTCGCAACACAAAGATTATTACGAGTTTATCTCCTTAAAAGTAGTTATATTTACCAACACAAACAATACTCGGGGTTTTTTTGCCCCCTATTGTACATTGCTCCCAAACTATTTTTTTTTTTTAATTTTTTTTTATTTTAAATTGACATTTAAAACTTAAACCTCCTTTTTCTGTTGCAGAAGTTAGTCTAGTCCTGTCATGTCTCTATCCAAATACATCTTAAACACCATGTTTTATTATCTCCCATGGCTCACGAATCATGATTGTTCTAAGGCAATGTTTGGTAAGAGGGAAAGAAGATAAAAAAGAGTCAAAGACAATAATCTAGGCAAGGGAAATGGAGAGGATGATGAGGGCCTTTCTTTTATTCGGTAATTTATGTTTGGTATGAATCTTTCCCACTTCTTATCTCTTCATATTCGGAGAGACTAAAATTGAGGTTCTTTTGAGGGATTTGAAATCCCTCTTCAAATCCATTCACTCCATTTTCTTTCCCTCCAGACAACTATGGCTGCCAAATTTTTTTGCTAACCCCTCATCTTTCCCTCCTCCCACGTTTTCCTTCCTACCAAACAAGCTCTAAGGGTTTGCAAGCCTCTGTTCCTCATCTTGGAGGCGAGAAGGAAAATTTTGGGAAAAATCCTGTGCTCTCCTCTAAACCACCCGCGTTCTAGGTTTGGGAATATTTTTAGTGATTTTAGCTGGAGCTCGGAACCAGAGTTTAGAATAAAGGATTTTCCCCATATTTTCCCTTCCTAACAGAGCCCCAGCGCCCAATCTACTAAACCCCTGAAATATCTTGGAGTCACACGAGATAGGAATGGGGTTTAACGGGTATCTGGATGGAAACTTAACAGGGCAACAAGAAAAGGAGGTTGGAGGTTGGAGGTTTAAATTCTAAGAAAAGAGAGGTCGGGGACCGGTTTGCGATAAGAGGAAAAGGTCTAGAACCAATTAAGCAAAAAAACCCCCACACTATTCTCCAATGAAAATAGTTTCAATCAATTAGCAATTTTTACCCCTTGACTTCTACTGCTTTCACTCATTCAGCTAAAAGCAGCTTTTAGAAATAAGAATTACAGACCGAGATAATTTTGAAAATATCAGTGAAGCTCAAGTTTTATGGTTTGTTTGAAACTAATTGGGCTGTGGGCATTTCTTAGAACTTATAGGGAATTCCTGTTTGCTTGTTTCCTAAACTGAGAATGCAAATAAATAAATCGCTGCACATAAAAGACGTTCATGGCAGAAACCTGTTAAAGGGAAAGAAAGAAGAGGTAACTAGATGTCTATGCTTGAGGTCTTCATTGCGAATAATCTAAAAAGAGTGGTGGACAAAATGCAATAGCTAATCCGTGTGCTTGACTTTGGATATTAGATATCTCCTTGCATTCATGCATGCTATGCTAGTGTGTTACCTGAAGTTTAGCCATCTGAAGTTAAACTTGTGTTTATTTGCTGGGAATACATAATATCCCTAATGGATTTCTGTGCTCTAGGTATATGGACGGGGAACGGCTAACAGCTGAAGATGAGAAAGCTGTGGTGGAAAAGCTTCTTGCCTATCATCCACGCTCTGAAGATAAAATTGGATGTGGGCTTGATTCTATTATGGTAAAGATGCGACTAAACCAATCTTTTTTTTTTCGTGAAATTGCTTGTTTGATCATCGTATGTTTACCTTGGTGATTTTATGGTGGAATTCAAACCAATTCTCCATCTTCTACATGTGTTCCATAATTTTTCTTTAGACCATGAATTTGGTCTGGTCACAGAATGGTCGTCTTTATTGATTGATATGCCATATTTGCCATTTCTAACTCGGTCTCTTTTTCATCTAAGTTAATCATGTTTTTTTTCCTATTTGTTCTCACCTAAAGAGCTTGTTGTGCAAGTTTGTGAGGGATACTCTATGAGAAGTTTAATCCCAATAGAAGCAACTTTTTCTCTGTTCAATTTCTAGGATGTGAGCTCATTGAGTGTAATACGTTCAAATTTGCTTGCACAAGCAAGAAGTTTAAGGTCCGGGACTCCCGTACCTAACTGAAACATGGAAAATGAACACATCATCTAATCTCAACGGACAACTTATCTGAACATATGGTTTATCTTAATTTGCGAAATTTCTTAATGTGACAATTTTTGTTTTGTTAAATGATGGATTATTCATTTAGAGGGCCGGATACATGATTTTCTTAGAGGAATTACGTTGAGAGCTCCCAAGTTTTGTCAAAATATCACTTAATACCCTTGAAAAGAAATAGTAACACAAAGCACCTACCCCGTCATCACGCCATCAACGACAAATTGAAAAAGGAAAGCTAAATACTGGATTTTGATAATTCTTCTCATCGGGATATTTTAATAGTTGAAAACTTGTAGGTATACTAGAATCGTTGTCCTAGGCAGTTAGAAGCTGGTACAGGCGTGTTGGGATTGTTTCATTCCTGAGTTTTGGCTTTCTTTCTATCGAACTTTCCTCCAACAGATTTATTCCTTGACTTTGGGACATTGCATTATCAATTTCTACTTATGTTGATCGGGTTTAAATAACTTAAATCCGTCTGGTGTTTTTGTGTTATATGTGAAGTGGCTAATACAACTAAAAATTGTGTTTCATCTCTTCGCTTAAGGTTGATCGGCATCCCCAATTCAGAAATTCAAGGTGCCTATTTATCATTAGAACTGATGGGGCGTGGATTGACTTCTCCTACCAGAAGTGTCTTCGACACTACCTCCGAGAGAAATATCCTTCTCATGCAGAAAGATTCATACGAGAGCATTTTAAACGCAGCAGTTAAGTGGGTGTATTTGTGTCAGTTATGATGCTTACTTTTTTTGTTAATCTAGAAACAATTGGGGAGAAAAGATGCTAGGGTTTCTCATTGAACTGCTTAATTAATCAAATTAGAAAATAATGTTTATATAGACTTACAAAATAAATGGAAAGACTATTCTACTCTTACTAAAAGATAAAGACAAATGATAGTAACTAATGTTATTTAACATGCCCCATCAAACTCACGATGTGGTTGCAACAAGCATCGAGAGTTTGCTAGACAAAAACCGAAAATGCGAAGGGGAGTGTGACTTTGTAAAGAAATCAGCTATTTGCATATTAGAAGGAACGAAAGAAAATGTGAGAGTGCCAACTTGAAGATAATGTCGAGTAACATGATAATCAATCTTAATATGCTTGGTCCGCTCATGGAAAACTAAATTGCGTGCAATCTGAATAGCACTCTTGTTGTCACAATACAATGGAGTAGGTCAACAAAGAAAAACACTCATATATGCAAGTAACAAACTTAACCAAACTATCTCACAAGTGGTAGAAGCTATGGCACGATACTAGACGATCTAAAAATGACACCTTACTTCTTGCTCTTCCAAGAAATGAGTCGCCCAAAAATACACAGAAGCCAATGGTAGACTTACGATCAGTAGGGTCACTAGCCCAATTAGCATAACAGTATGCACGTAGCTCTAAGGACGAAATAGATGGAAATAAAAAACTCTGAAACTGAGCACCACGGAGAGACCTCAAAATATGAAGAACAACAGCCCAATGGACAGTAGTAGGTGAAGTAACAAACTGACTAGCCACATGAACAACATGTGCAATATCTGGATGAGTGATGGTGAGATAAACTAAGCTACTAACAACTGTACAATATAAGGTAGGATCCGGCAAAGAAGAACCATCAGAAGACGAATACCGAACATTAAGTTCAAGAGGTGTGTCAACAGTCTTATTATCAGTAAGACGAGCACGCTAAAATATGTCAGTTATATACTTAGACTGAGAAAGAAGGTAACCTTCTGGAGAGGAGGTGACCTTAATACCCAGAAAGTAACGTAGCGAGCCCAAATCCTTCATTGCAAAGCAATGAGCTAAAGCCAACTTCAATGCTGCAATCCCATCAACATCATCACCAGTAATAATCATATTATCAGCATACAAAGAAAGCAAAATATGACCAGCAGCAGTACATTTGATAAATAAGGCAGACTCATGATGGCTAGGACGTAACCCAAGTGAAGTGATATAGAAAGCTTAGCAAACCAAGCTCGAGGTACTTGCTTGAGACCATAAAGAGCTTTTAAAGCCTGCAAACTTCACTAGGTTGGTGGGGAACGCCTGGAGGAGGTACCGTGTAAATTTCTTCTTGAAGGTCACCATTCAAAAAGGCATTTTTAACATCCATCTGAGATATGTGCCATCGACGAACAGAGGCAACTATAATGAGGGTGCGAACAGTAGTCATTTTTGCAACATGAGCAAAAGTCTCCTCATAATCCATACCGTACTCCTGAGAATATCCCTTAGCGACCAACCGGGCTTTGTAGCTTTCAATAGATCCATCATACTTGGCTTTGATTTTATAAACCCAACAAGAACCAACCACTCATTTACCTAACGGAAGAGGTACTAAATCCCACGTGTATGTCTAGTACATCGTAGTAAGTTCCTCAGCCATAGCTTGCTGCCAAAGTAGATCACAAATTGCCTCGCTATAGGACAAAGGCTCAGAGATACGATGAATAAAAGCTAAGAAAGAAATACACGAGCTCGAATAACATGAGTAAGCAAAATCTGGTAACTGAGTGGACTTACGGATACGTACAGGTTGAGTAGGTGGAGGAACTAAAGTCTTAGGTGGTGATTGGGCGGCCATATGAGGAGAGGGAGCATCATAAGTATTGGGAGCCAAGGTACCAGTAACTATTGAACTATCAATGGGAACTCTACAAGAATCAAGATCTGAAGTGAGAGCGGGTGAGTGTGAAACAGGAGGTGGGACAACATCAGTATCGAGAGTGAATGGATCAATATGAATGAGATCATATGTAGTCATATTATGAGGACTAGCAAGAATAGAAAAGAAAGGTATATGCTCAAGAAACTTAACATGACGAGAGACGTATAATTTTTGACTAACTGGATCAAAACAGCCATATCCCTTTTGACTTGCACCATAACCCAAAAAGACACAAATGGCGGAACACGAGGACAATTTACTACGCTCAACATGAGGCAAAAGGACAAAACAAGTTGGCCCAAAAACACGCAATGAAGAGTAATTAGGAGCATATCCATACAATTTCTCAAAACGTGACAAATCTGAATTATGTGAGATTGGAATCCTATTAATCAAATGAGTAGTAGTAAGGATTGCTTCTCCCTAGACACTAGGAACAGAGGTTGACAATAAAAGAGAACGAGCAGTCTCAATAAGATGCCAATGTTTCCTTTCAGCAACACTATTTTGCTCCAGAGTATCTGTGCAAGAACTTTAGTGAATGGTTCCATCTAAAGCAAGTAATTCAGAGAAAGCATTAGAAGTATACTCCCCTCCCAAATCACATCTAAAACACTTAATGATAGCCGAATTTTGAGTTTTTACCATAGCTCGAAAGGTATTGAAAATACTAAAAAAGTCAGAATGACGTTGCAAAAGATTAACCCAACAATAACGAATGCAATCATCAATGAAAGAGACATAATATCTAGATCCCCTTTTGTAGCAATAGTAGATGGACCCTACACTTAAGAATGAACTAAGTCAAATGGTGCAAGAGACATAGAAATACTTTTGGAAAAAGGTAAGGCAAAAAATTTTGCTAGTTTACAACCTCTGCAATCTGAAATATCATGAGTGCGCAAATTTCGTAATGCTCCTATAGATGCCAAATATTTTAAACGAGAAAATGAAACATGTCCAAGACGAGAATGCCATAAATAAAAACTAGAAGAATGAGAACTCAAACGAAAAGAAGATAGGTCATCATTAGAAGCTGCAACCTCTAGTACTCTCAGCTCATCCAAAATGTATAATCCTCCCTGCCTACAACCTATCCCAATAAATTTATGGGACTGCGGATCTTGCACATGACAAGAAGTAGCAAAAACAGAGACTGTGTACTCAGAGTCACATAACTGACTAATAGAAACAAGGTTCAACGTAATATTAGGAATATAGTAAACATTGGTAAGGGAGAAATTAGACATGTAAACAAAACCGACGGCGGCTAATGGCATAGGAGTGCCATCACCAGTTATGACAGACACGGATGAAGCAGGACATAATGAAAAAAAAGATAATTAATCAGGTGACATGATGAGAAGCGTCAAAATCTAAGACCCATGCAGAACAAGACATACTGACAAGCTAGAAGATGACAAACCTATATGAGAGGAGATAGACATAGAATGCGATTGTGTGATAAGTAACTTCTGAAATTGTTCGAACATAAATGGGTTTAGTTGTGCTCTAATAAACCAAAGAGGATCATCTCTAGTTCCGAATATTGTGAGAAACAAAATTGGAATGCGAGTCAAATCAATTCCAAAAGAAATCAACGTAAGCGGAAGCAAATAAGATTACGACCACCAGAGCAATCGTATGAACTCCAATCTCGAATCCCAATGGCAAATTAATTCTTTGATCGCATCAGCATATTAAGGTCTCGTTTATTTCACCGATTCGAGTTTTCAGTTTTAGGTTGTTACAGTAAAAAGCTCTTAAAAAATATCACATCTAACTTTTTCTGCTACAGTAAAAAATTCTAAAAAAATATCACATTTCAACTCGAATTGAGAACTCAAATTCATATGAGTTTTCAGTTTTAGGTTGTTACAGTAAAAAGCTCTTAAAAAATATCACATCTAACTTTTTCTACTACAGTAAAATATTCTAAAAAAATATCACATTTCAACTCGAATTGAGAACTCAAATTCATAAAGTAAACATACCTAAACCACTTCAATCACCTAACCCAACGATCAAAAAGTAAAAATTCAGGGAGAAAAACTGACGCGACAAACCGTATTGCTCTGCACCAAGTTTGCCAATCAATTACACGAGTTACCAATTTAAATGGGAATCTATGTGTTATATCGTAGGTGCTTTAGGTGAAACGCAACAAAGTAACCCACATCAAGACAAAAACCACCAAAGGAGTCGCACGAATGCCTAGGCCACTCAAAATCTCATCCAATTGCTCAAATTATCACAAACTGTTATTCTTCTCCAAATCAATTGCAATATAAATGGTTGCCCCCAGTTGCAAAGTGAAAGCAGCGATTCTTCTCTAGTTTCAACGCAAATTGCAAACAACCTACTAAATATTAAATCCAATTCTAATTCCAAACGGGAATAAAACCAGCGATAAGAAATTGTAACTCTGATACCATGCTAATTTAAAAACTGATGCAAAGCCTGCTGTCAGAAGAAAGAAATTATCTTTATTTTTAAAATTTAAAGAAATTATATTTATCTTTAAATTCTAAATTTTGATAGTCTCATTATTTTTAAAATTAGAAAAAGATTAATTCGAGATAGATATAGATTAATTAGAGATAGTTTCCTTTTCGATTTCGAATTGTAATTCTCTATAAATAGGAGGATACCTTGTTATTTTTCATTATTGACGTTTGATAATAAAATTTTCAAAAAAGTTCTCTCCACTTTGCTTGTTTTTCTGTATTCTTTTGAATCAACGAGTTACTTGCATTCTGTTTTTTGGTATTCTTTTGAATCAACGGAATTATGTGACACCTTTTACGCTTCCGCTACGTCATTTGGTATCAAAGCCTTGCTATGCTCCTCCGTCATGCCACCTCGGCGTCGCCCACAACCCGCCAACGATTGGAATGAACTCCGTCAAACACTCGCCGAATTTTAGCAGAACATGCAGCAATCCATGTAGCAAGCCATTCTCGCCGCCCTTCAAGCCAACAACCAACCCCCGCTCGACCCGTTGTGCCCCCTCCGGACCACATCCAAGATTCCGAAGACAAATAAGAAGAAGATGCTGACGTTGAAGAGAACCGATTTGCATCGCTGCAAGCCGCGCCTCCTCGCCATCGTACTAACGTCACTACACCATGTCAGGCTCCCCACCATGAAGACAACCGCCATTGGGAGTCGGGTTTCAAACTTGATATTCCCG